TCTAATCGGAAAAAGAATTGTTATTGCTGAAACATGCAAACATTTTTTTGTCTCGGTAATGACTAGCGGAATATTCTAATAAAGATGAGGACCAAAAAAAACATTAATAAAACAATCAAATAAAAAAAATTAAATAAAAAAAAAATCTAAGCAAATTCTATTTAATAGTTGTTTAGTGGTGAAACAAAATTTAAATATGAGGAATAAAGACGTTTTCAATTACCTTCTTTAAGAAAAGTATGTGAAAAAACGTCTAAATTTACTTAGTAAGGAAGCAAAAACCTAAATTTTTGTATATTGGTTTCTCAATATTATCCGAAATACAATTATATAAAACTCTTCGAAAAAGGTTAAATGTAAAATATTGTATTAAAAATGTAAAACAAAAAAATGAAATGATACAGGTAGCAAAACAACATTGTTTATAAATCTTTACAAAATGCCAATATTTTATAACAATTGATTACCTTTAAAACTGATGGATCCTGAAATATATGATTGCCTAAAAGCTACTCAGCAGAGGATGCATTAGCTTTGATGATAGAATGTAGTAGTAGGATGATGTTAGAATGTAGAAGTAGGACTTATAGAATGAGTAGGACTAACTATCAAATTGTCCGTCAAGGAGCATCAGATTTGTTGCATGTTATATCCTGCCTAAATATTTATTTTAAAAGACAAAATTGATTTAATTGCAGAGTCCGGTATGGTCGCATCGAAGTACAATGTTTCTGTGAATCTACAAGGCATCACACTTCTAACAGAATTTGGAAAGTTATTTATAAATCTAAACTTCCTGAGCCTTGCAATACTCATCCCAGCCAACATTGACAGACGGGTACCGTAGAATTTTTGTCTGGGCTTACGGGAACGGGATATTGACGGGTAAGTGTTTTGGTTTCCAGACGTGTCCCATATGGTAATAAAATCAAGCACATTTGCTCGTTAGGGTTTTATCTGGTTTTTATCAGGGCCGAATAACCTGGGGAATTTGACGGGTCTCCCATAAGGTTCCCAAAAAGTTTAAAAAAAATCTTAACAAAACTTACTCATTTTTAATTCGTATTGTGTGTGAAATAAGATTAAAAATTTAACTTTTATGCATTACATTTTTTGAATACATTATATTTACATTGTAATTAAAAAGAATTTTTTTTTTGATGTGTTTTGTCATTGTAAAACTCAGTTAAAAAGACGTTGTTTTAAAATTTCACTTATTTATTATCATTATAAAAGAATTTTTATATACCCATATATATACATGTATACTATTTTTTAAATGAATTTACAAAGTTCAACATATTTATTGAACATATATTTGTTCCAGAAACTATTAAACATGTAGTAAATGTTCCATTGAGACACTGTTTGCATTTTTAAAATGATCAAAATATAAAGTTTTGTTTCTGCTAGTCACTAGCAGAAACAAACTTTATATTTTGATCAATTTTAAAATGATTTTAAAAGTGCAAACTAGCAGCTAGTGATATAATTAGATAATAAATGGTTTGAGTTTAATCAAAATATTAGTTTAGTCAGAAACATTTAAAAATAGCAAACAGACGAATAGAATGTAATAGATAGGTTATATTTAGGGAGTTAAAAGCTTTTAAATCGTTTTTACAGATCCACTCTTTTCCATTGATTTTTTTATATTTTATGCAAGCAAAATGACTGATGTTAACAAAGTTTAACCACCGTCAGATATAAATAAAGATATAATTACATGTTTAAATGCAAAAATATGGCTTTATTGTTATGCATCAACCTCATTTTTTAATCATTGATATTTTTTGATTATGATTTAAAATTGTACACTTGCAATATAAACAATAATTTCATAATATACATAATAATAACTTATACTTACAATACCTATACTTGTAAATACTTGTAATATAATAATTATGTTTATAATACTGATAAAAATTTTTATTGATATAAACTTTTGCATTCAAACTTTAGTTATAAAACTTTAATTTAACTTAATAACTTTTACATAAATAACAATAACTAAAAAAAGATGTTAGTTATTATTTAGATTATAGCCATATGCTTATTTATTATAATTGAGTTACAGTAAGTTAAACAATATAAAATATTATGTTCCAGGCAATAGGTCTTATATGATATGTATCTTATGTATATCTTGTATTTTGCAGCATGTTAAAGAATATTTCTGCATGGTGCACTCTGACTGTTTTGCACAATATTTGCATATTGATATGAGTAAAAGTGACTTCAACAACCAGAATGTGTTTTTGATAAATATTAATAATAACAGGTTAGTAAATATAATTATAGTAATAATGGCAATAACTTTTTATTATAAGAATTAGTGAGAGACTTATGTATAATAGAGCTACATTAACTTTGGAGGACAAATATAATAACTTGAGTAAATATTACCGTTGTTTATAACCTCGATTAGAGTAATGTAAGTAAATATTGTTTTTATCTGAAGAATATTCATCAAAGTCAGTATTTCCTAAGTATTAAATATTATAAAAAAACATGTGTTTAAAAAAAAAATTTAAATGTATCATAAAATAAAAAAATAAGTATTTGAGTATAAAAAAAAACACATTTATTATTATAATGTATATACATCACATTAACTATGTTGTCTATAAAGTTGAGGTTGCAGCTGATATTTCAGCTTCAGCTATAAACTCATTAGCTTCAGATTAATGCTGAAGCTGATCAAGTCAGTTTAATCATCTTGATAGCTGATAGTAAAAGAGAATAATACTCCATAAATATTTTATATAAAATATATTTTTATATAGGTATTTATTCAATGAAAATCTAAAATAGTGACAAAATTTAAACATACATGTAAATTTTAAATAAAATTTGCCAAAAGTTGTTGCTATTTATAAATGTTGCCATCAGAGCCTTGGCCTAGGACTTTCAATATTAGGGGACCCAAATTATGTTTTAAGAAATTTGTTTAAAAAGTGGTGCCCAAAAATCTAATTCATTTTTAATTATCTTAAGGGGACCAACTATCTTTTGTTCAAAAAGAGTACACTTTGCAAGTATTTCATAGGTAAAAAAAAAAAGGTAGATAAAACGATAAAAAACTTTATTTTTTAAAACGTATTTTTCGTCAGAGTGGATTTTTTTTGCTAGATGAGGATGTTCGTCTAATAATGTAGCTGCATCCAAACATATTAAATTTCATATTAAATTTGACTGTTAAGAAGACATATAATGTTTTTACAGAAAGTTGCAACTTCTCACTGCTCCAATAATCATTTCTTAGTGAAAATACCTTTTCAACAGCAGCATTAGTGCCTGGACAACATAAAGAAATTTCTGTTAAAACTTTTAAATTTTCATGTGGGATATGTTCTACTCTAAAATGCCGAAAGATTTCTACCCATATTTTTTCAAGTTCTATTTTCTCATTGTTTCATTTCTTTAATTTTTCTTCATTTAAAAATAAGTTTACTCTTCCGATTTCTTCAAAAAGAAAATTGTCATTAAAAACAATATCTTTTACTTCCTTTATTACAATTTTGACTGCTGAAGAAACTTTTTTTCATTAAACTTTTCTATTTATAAGGGTCCATTTAAAACAATTCAATGCTCTAAAGTTCATTATCCATTCTTCGATATATTCATAGGAAATTTTATAAAAATTTTTAACTTCTTTTAAAAATTTTTTTTTTTCCCGGGTTTGGAATCTTCCAAAGCGGTCAGTTTATAGGCTTTAATATAGCCTTTAATATTGTATATAGTAGTGTATGTATATATTTTTTATTTAAATTTGCCTTTAATTTGTTTTTTTATATTTTTCTGCAAAAAATTTTTTCTGTCACTTTATCCTTCTGAACTTATGTGATTAAGTTTTTGTTTTCTCTTACATATTTTCTTACTCATCTTATCTCATCCGTTCATTTTCTCTTTTTTTTTCATTTTTCTTAGCATTACTCTTTTATATTTTTGTGTTAATTCCAACTTTTTAAATAGTATTGTTCCTTATACTTCTTTTTTTGTTACTTGTATTAATGTAGTTTTCTTTCTTTCTTCTTATTTTTTATTTTATTTGTTTATTTTATGAAGGTGTTGCTCCATTGACTTGTTTTTAATATGAGTGACACCGAACATAAATTTGTAAATTATAATTAAGTTTGAAATTGTGAACTCCTAAAATTAATTATGGCCGATCAAATTTGATCGTCTACATTGCATGTCACACATTAGAATAAAATTTTTTTTAACATTTAAAAAAGAATCTTAAATTTATTAAATTAGCATTAAAAAAAATATGTTCATTATTGCTGAATTAAACAAGTTTTTAGACCAATAATAATCTTTTAGTTCACATTAAAAATGGCAATTAAAAAGAAGCGCGAAGTTTATTGTAAATAACTTAATAATGCTTTTGTTTGGTGGAATAAACATAGCGTTGATTTCGTAACAGTGTTCAGTTCGAAAGTTTATTAACTGTAAAAGAATTATTTTAATAAAGCGAATTCATTTGAATAAAATGAATTAATAACTAGAAAGGTTAACATTTCTTTGATTGTCTGAAAAATAATGGACAAAGCAAGTTTGTGATTCGTTGGAAAACTTCATTTTGAAATAATCGTGATAATTTAAATTGAAAGAAACAGTTTTTGTTTTAAAGTTTTAGAAATTAAATGGTAAGTTTAAAAATAATCTTAAAATGGAAGCATACAAAAAGCGTCAAACATTTATTTCTTTTAAAAGAAACTTAGTATCTGGAACACCCGCTGAGAAAAACTAAAAACTTATGACAGAAAGCTACAATTACAAACAGCTAATAAATGGAAAGTCTCTACGCTTGCAAAATATAAAATTGGCTTGAAATTGAAAGCGTTGACGGAATAGTTACAGCGCTAAAATGCAAAGTATGCCGAGAATATGCATCGCAAATTCAGATTTTAAAAGGCTACACTCCGGAATGGAGCTGTGGAAAAGGATATAGTCGATTGCAACATAGTTCTGCAATCACGCATGCAGAGGGAATGTCTCATCAGAAAGCTTTTGAGATTTTTATGAAAACGAGAGGCATGAATTTATGCGATCGAATTGAAAAACTGAACGAGTTGCAGCAGGAAATGCGGCAAACAGACATTTTATCCGGTATTCAAACCATGAATAGTAAAGACTTGGATTTGACAAAAAAAAATTTTGAGGTCGCTTACTTTATAGCAAAAGAAGAACTATCGCTTTGCCTATACCCAAAAATAATTCAATTAGAAGAGAAACATGGTGTAGTTTTTGGCCAGGTTTATAAAAACGAAAACACATGCGGAGTATTTATTTACTACATTGCTCTTAGTTTAGCGATAGATCTCAAAAATAAACTAAATACTCGAAATTTTTTCACTATTTTAATTGACGGTTCTAACGGCATTTCAATTAAGGAAAAAGAAGCTATATTTGCCGTTACTTTTAATCCGGGTCCAACTGGAAAATCTGAAGTAAACGTTGAATGTGATTTTCTTTCACTTTTGGATGTTGAGTATGGAACTTCGCACGGAGTTTTCAACACCATAAAAAAGTCACTCGAGAATATAGAAGTCGTAAATTGCAATAAAAAACTAGTTGGATTTGGTGCGGATGGCGCATCCGTTAACAGAGGGAGCAAGTCGGGCGTTAAAATGTTGCTCAAGGCTGAAGTCCCCTGGATCACATTTGGCTGGTGTGTAGCACATCGTCTCGAGTTATCATTAAAAGAAAAATTAGGAAAAACAGCCTCATTCAATGACGTTGATTACATGATTTTAAAAATGCATAACATTTACAAAAAATCCCCCAAAAAGTTAAGACAGTTGGGTGAACTCGTTTCTATTTTAGAAGATGATGAATATAACATTGGTGGTTACCGACCTAAGAAAGCCTCCGGTATTTTCTTTTTTTTGCTTGATTTATTTATCTTATATTTATTACCATTACAGTTATGCGTGACGCCTATATTTTTAGTTTTTGCAAGTATAAAGTAAATTATAAATTGTATAATCTTGTTTCATTTTTAGGTACACGATGGATTTCACATAAAGTTCAGGCTTTAGAAATGATTTTAGATAAATACGGTGTTTATTTAACACATCTGGAAAATATGACTGAAGATATAACATTTACCAATGCTGAAAGAGCTAAGTTTAAAGGATACCACAAAAAGTGGATTCATGCTAGAATGCCCCTTTATATCGCGTTGTTTGTTGAGATTTTAGCACCAGCAAAGATGTTGTCAAAATGTTTTCAAAGTGATGAGATAGATGTGTTGGCTTCATCAGGGTTTGTTCAACAAGCTAAAAGCCATTTAAATCGTATTCAAAAAACAAAGTTTATTAATTTGCCAACAGTAAAACCTTTTCTCGCCAAAGTGACTGAAAAAGAAGGAAAGTTTTATTTCCAGGGTGTTGCACTTAACGACTTTGTAAATGCTAAACATTTAGTAAAATAGTCTAAATCTATTCATATCGAGTTAGTAACAAATTCAATCATAGAGCGTTTGGAAACAAGCGATACTATTACTGATATGTATGGTACAAAAGTTTTAAATACAGAAGGTTGGCTTCAAAGTATTGAAAATGAAACATTCCTGGATGAAGGAATAGAAAATCTTTTTGACTTTTATAGAGCGCCGTTGTAACATGCTGGTTTTGCAGGAACTGTAAATGATGTTTTGGATGCTTGGCATAGCTTGGTAAACTACACTGTAAAATATTTAGCACCACATAATACCGGTTATCGTAAGTTATGGCATCAAATTGGCATCTAGCTCCATGAAAATTGAATGGGTTCCGGTTTTACTTATTGTCGAACTATTATTTACTTTGCCTGTTTCTAATGCGAAAGTTGAACGCCTTTTTTCACTAATGAATAGAGTAAAAACGGATACAAGAAACTCTCTGAAAGAGAAACGTTTAGAAAATTTAATTCGAGTAAGTTTCGATGAAAAAGATTCCAATTTATTTGATTTAAGTTCTGCTATCGAGTTATGGACCAATGATGCCGTGCGAAGGCCAAAACAATCAGTAAGAAAATGCTATTCCAAAAGAGCAAAAAAAGCAGGATTAAAAACATTAATCGACTTGGATTCATCATCTAACGAATCAAGTAATGAATAGCGCAAAACGAGATTATTTTTTCTCACCTTTTTTTAGTTTAAAAAAGTTTTAATAATCAAATATTGGTTAAAAAGTTCATTACCTTTTTATTGTGTCATTTTTGTTAAAAAACGATCATTATATAAAAAACAATTGTTCGAGTCACAAAAAATATTTTTACGTCACTTAAAAGGCAACGCGTTGAAGTGAAAAAGTGAATTAAGAGCTAAGTTTAAAAGTAAAAACTATAAACGATAACGCGGACGTACGCTGTTGTATTCAAAAACCACTAGCGTTCAGCTAGTGTTCTAAAAATAGATTTTTTTAGTACTAAAAGGCATTAAGGTAAAGATATTTTAGAAAATTGCACAAAATCAATATAATTTTCTAAAAACGCAATTTATTGTAGGTTGATAGCGGCAAAACAAACAATTTGACGTCACCTAAACTGTACGCTATTAAAGAAAAAGTTAAGAAAAATTTGATCGTCTGGATAATTTTTTGATCGTCTACTTTATTACTTTTATTATTTCTGCCGATCAGTGTTGATCGGCAACCTTCAAATAATTATTTCGAGCGCTGGCCTAGGGATTACATATGCAAATGTTGGATCCATCTCTTTTCACAAATGTAATTTTGACATTGTAAGAAAAAGAGGTCTGTAGTATCTATCTTTCTATCTCTCCAGGTTCATAATACGGCCTCTCAATTGTGTTAAAAATAGCAGCCATATGTGCGTTCAAAATTTAAATCACTGTCAAACTTGTATCTGGTGTTTGCCCGGTCCTCTGAAGTTGCTGGAAACGGCTAGCAATATGTGCGCATGAAATTTAAATCACTGTCAAAATAATTTTAAATATCTAATTAATAAAATTGAAAGGAAATAATATTAAAAAAAATGTTTTAAAAATACAAATGAGTACAAAATTATACAAATAAGTGCTTTCAGAGTACAGGATTTGAAAAAAGTAAGGTTTGTGAAAAAAGAGTAAAAAAACTCAGTAAATGAGAATAGCAGGTCACCTTAATTGTCTACATAATTTTTTAGTAGATTTCAAAGTTCTTGCAAAAGATGGTTTATCTATGAAAATATTGAGTTTAAAATCAATCTTGCTGTTATCATATGTGATGCACCAGCTAGAGCATTTGTAAAGTGTATTAAAGGACACAATAGTTATAACTGATGTGAATGTTGTGCTTAGAAAGGAGAGTGGTGTGGCAAGATAATTCTCCTACATATTTCACTAATTTTGAGCACTGATTCAGATTTTTTGTCATTAAAAGCATTCTAAACATCTTAGTGGTGTGTTAAATTGAATTAAATTTTGACATGGTGACAAAGTTTCCTTTAGACTTAATGCATCTAGTATGCTTAGGGGTAATGCGAAGATTTCTCAACTTATGGTTAAATTGCCCAAATGTTGTAAATTGTCTCAGATTACAGTCAATACTTTATCTAGCGGATTGTTCCAGACACGTCATTACATTCCAAGAAATTTTTATAGAAAATCAAGGTCTTAATTAGATATTAAAAAATGGAAAACAACTGAGCTTAGACTATTTATAGTAAACACTGGATCAGTTGTTTAAAGGGAATGGTTTAGCCAAAAATGTATTCAATTTTTTAGATTTTTCAGTTGCAGTTTTACTTTCATATTGTATCATTTTGTTGAAAAAATATGTTAATTCTGCTTTTCAGCTACTTATCTTTATATGTGGACTTTATCATAAGGATCAACTAGTGTACAATGTCTATTCATTAGCACATATAGGAAATAATACAGTTAAATTTTAGGTACTTGATAGATGTCCCTCTTTCAAATACAAAACTTTTTCAGGTTAATTATAAAATGTTTGTCTAGGGGGCTCATTTGCAAATTTAGGGGCCCTTTTACAAATGTAAGGATTTTTTTTTTTTTAGGATTTTTATTTAGATTTTGTTTATCTATTGGAAAAGTTTTTAGGAATTTTGGGGCCCTTATGACAGGTTTTTTTTTGGAATGGGGGGCTTGTATCTAGTAGCCATGGCACTGTATATAAGGTATATACAATATATATCAAATTATATACAACATAAATAAAAAAATATATTTATTTAATAATTTTATATAATTTATTTATCAGTAACTAAAGGAATGTTATCAATTTATTATATGAATCATAAGCATGTGCTTATCTATTACAAGTACCTTAGACGGTGAAAATTACATTTTTTATCTGAAGAGAGTTGGGAGAAATTGTAAGAGTTTTATAACATTAAAATTAATGTATGTGTTACCAATAAAATTTAAAACTAACAGTTAAACTTATTTTTTTACAGTTCATATTGAAAAGAGATATTGTGTAAAGAGGTTTTCAAAGAAGTCGTTTTAACAACAATGGAAAAGCTTCCGATTCCTGAGATAAACGTGAAAGCATTTAATACATGATTAAAAAATCGTTCAAAAGTTTGCTTAATTTTGACAGTGTAATTTTAATTACTATTTTTTTTGAAATAAACCAATCAATTTATATATAAATTTGCTTTTTCTGTAAATTTTAAACATTTAAACGTAGTTTTGCAAGATTTGCAATGGGTAAACCTCGTGGGACCCTCACGGGATACCCTGCGGGCATACCCATATGGGCCCCAGAAGAAAACAGCGGCCATGATCCGGCGGGTTCCCGATGGGTTTCCCATATGGGTCCCATTTGCAAACCCAAATGGGTCCCTGACGGTTTTAAAGTACGGGATTTGACTGGGACCCATACGGGATACCCGGCGGATTAACCCATATGGAAACCGCGGTCATGATCCGGCGTGATACTGTTGGTCTTCCCATACGGGACCCAGTTGACAACCCGTAGGGCCCCGTACGGTACCCGTATGTCAATGTTGGCTGAGGGTGTATAAATTTCCTTCAAGAAAAGACCTTAAAGTGTGATTTCCCTACAACTGACTTGTTTTAGTATTTTTTATTTAAGCAATGAAAATTGAAAAAGATACAGTATAATGTTACTTTTAAAGTGAGCAAATTAGTATGAAAATTACGTTCAACACATTTTATGATGTATCAGAGTATCTATTTTAGAATGTAAATAGAATATTTGCTCACTATAAGCTGCAAAAAAAAAAAAAAAAAAAAAAAATAGCACAAAAACAACAAATAATTTAAAATAATAAATGTAAACCTATTAAATACTTTTTTAAACAAAAAATAAAATTAAATTTGCCTTGGGTTTTCAGTAAACAATTTTGTATTCAATTAACAAAACAAAACAAATCATTTTCAACGATAGATACTGTGTAAAGGTTAGCCACAGCTGTCAAAACAAAAGGTATGCAAATCGCAAAACTTTTAATAACCTTTAAATTAGGTACAGCAATAAAAATTGCTGTACCTTTTTTAGGTATCAAAATTTGTGGCAATAAATATAATGCAAAAAAAACTTATTTTTTCTGTTTGCAAATCACAAAACTGGCGGTACTAATTTGCAACCCAAAAAAATTATGGTTCTTAAACCAAAAAAAGAGCGGTAAAAGGTTGCAAGCCGCAATGCTTGTTATACCTGTTTGCAAGCCACAAAACCTGCCGTACTAGTTTGCAAGTTAAGAATTTTTTGCTACCGAATTGCAAGCAACAAAACTTGCTGAATCTATTTGCAAGCATTCAGCATGCGAGAGGGAATTTTTTCATGCAATATTCAGCAGCTTTAGTTTCAGATTGATTTTGTTTTCAATTAGAAGCATTGCAAATTCTTATCTGTTATTTACTCTTTCTACAGATAAAAATAGCACTCTTACCACTGGCAAAGTTAGCATAGCTTACAAAATAAACTTTTGAAGTAAAAATCGTTTCCTATTTGATTACCGCTTATAGTCTATATTTTTTCATTTCCTTCTTTCATAAGGGGTGGTTTTGGCGTATGAGATTTCAGAGCCATCTTTAAAGGGGATAAATAAACAAAAACAATGTCGATTTCAATTGATACTAGATTGTTTTTACCTTATTTCTTAATTACTAAAAAACAATTAATAGTTTTTTAGATAGAAAATAGTTGTATAAAATTATTAAAAGACCAATTTTTATCTACAAGTTGCTCTTTACACGAGTTACGGATCAGAATAAATAAATTTAAACAATACCCTTTTCTTGCTCAAAACCTAAAGTGAAAGGCAAAAAGACGTTTTGTACTGAATACTTGCCGGGATTTTACAAGTATCTCGCCTTTAACTACTACCTCTTTAACTATAAAAGACTTTCTATCACTTAATTTTTTTTTTTAAGTATACTTTAAATATGTGATAATGCAGTTCAGTACAGAAAAGTAAATGCAGCTATTTAAAATTGAATGCAGTTTCGGAACAAAAAAT